TATATATGTGTGTAAAAGTTATAGGTATATGTGCATGTGTATGTATGAGAAGAATAAAAATATCGAAAAATTCAAATAATTTCAAATCTAATATTATTCTTACTATCTTGGTTGCCAAAACATTGAAAGAAAAATACTACGTCTCTTTATATCGTATATATTTTCACGATATTCACCAATATCGCAACGTAGACCAAGTCTCCTGGCCACACTCTGATATATTATAAATAAAATTATTTCTTTACCAATTTTATTTTCTAAAATCTGTGTCGGAAATTACAATACAAAAATTAATTAAAACATTTTTGAGAAATAACAAACATATGATCACAATCATAGCATAACTTGGTCATATTTTTATAATGTTTAATAATCTACACTACTTACATTATTTATACATCTGTATTCCACTTTTACATTTCTAGACTTTGGTAGTCGAAAGTTTAATTTCTCAAATATATATTCCTCGAGTGTATCCATAATCTGCATTCCTTCTGCTTCCTTCCAATAATTATCGTAGATATTATTGTCTTTCCAATAGGAAAAATATTTGGTAGATGTCAAAAGTATCGAATGGTTGGGATATTTATCTCTAAGACAATTCAGTACTTTTAATGCAATATTATCGAGTGATGTTTTTACGCGCGAGTAAGATACATTCTTTCGAGGTTAAAACCATTGTGCCGCAATAGTAGCAATCTGTTCCATAAGCTGCTGATTGACCGGATGTTCATAAAATCTGTTCCGTTCCACCTCCAGCAAATAATTCCTCAGATAGTATAACAGTTTTACATTGCTATATCTTTTTGCCAGATCGCAATTAGCTCTTCTAAAAAATTTACATTTTAATTGTTCAATAAGTAAGTTAATCTATAAGGTTAATATAGCACATTAATTTATATTAAATCTTACTGGAGTAAAGGTTGTGTAAGCAAGTTCCTAATCTCATCAATATGGAATAACATTTTTATGTCATTTCCAGACTTATACATTTTTCGCATTATAAATTTATCTAAATAATTATCTATTAAAGTAAATTCAGTTAAATTATTGATCTTAGTACGTTGATCTAGTATATGATACACGGAATTCAATTGTCTCATACAATTAATGCCTGTTTCTATAAAGTTTTTATGAAACAAAAAATTACCGTTGAAAAAATTTTGTTGTCCGGAATTTATTGTTACGGCCTGCCCACCAAAATTTCTTGCACACTAAACTTGCATCTGAAGTTAATAATATCTCCAATGCTGATATTATTGCAGCTAAGAATTATGTCTATCACCTCATCAGATAAGCACATTATCGTAGCCATTATAACAAAAATTCAGTAAAATTCAAAGAAATAATATAATTTAAGAAGATAGCTACAAATAGTTTTTCTCTTCTTAAAACCACACAAAATATTCTGCGATGTTGCGTATTTATGTCTGCCGATTGCAGAGAACACTCGTGCTTGTTTTATGCGCACTACCAGAACTTCTTCACACTCTGTCCACTCTTATTCTGAATTATCTGTAAATCTAAAGCTTTTCCCACTATACAGTTGTCACGTGACTATGCGCACAAAAGAGAAATTTCTTTGAAACTTGAAGGGTCTCTCAGGTAAATTGTCTCTCAGGCATATTTGTGAGAGATCCTTCAAGTTTCGGAAATGTCTTATTACTTCTGAGACAGGGAAAATTCTTTTAGAAAAATACAAATGCATGTCTATTTTTTGTTTGCTAGAACACTATAAGCGCGCACTACGGGCGTGCCATTTATTTTATATGTATATGTGTATAACTACATTGCTAGAATCGATTTAACATGCCTTTTTAAGAATGGATATATCGATGAGAGCTGCTCACGACATATTAAAATATTACAAAATGTGTGTGTTACATAAAACATTATAAAATGCGCCATTTAATTTTTATAAATGATAATAGATAAAAACGATTAAAAAATTGCGATATCTCTTGCAATATTGGTTTGAGTATAAAAATGTTAAAAGTTTTTTTTATGTTTCGTGGGTTGTTACCCAGAATTCTAAATAAAAAACGGGTAATGCAAAAAACTCTATTTTTCCCAATACTTGGATATATTTTTATACGACACATATGAAAAATTGTAATTTTCAAAACGCGGAGATATATTCTATTATAATTATTATGTTTTCCTATAGTTTTAACCGTGTTCTTTTGAATTCAAAGGAGTTTTAATTATTAACAAAGTTAATTAATTTTTTCACGGTCATATGATCGTCCAATGATAGGTATACTGCGAGGTTTTCGAAAAATGTGATACGGAAAACGGTGATATCTCTTGCAATATTAGTTAAAGCATTAAAATGTTAAGAGTTTCTTTTACATCTCGTGGAATGCTACCCAGAATTCTAAATAAAAAGTCAGAATTGCGAGAAAATTCATCTTTAAAATATTTAAAATATATACTTGTATAAATTAATATTTTGTATATATGTATATGTCGTAATACGTAAAATATTTCGGCAATGAATTATGAATAACATGGTATTCGGTCTTGCTTCGGTAGCGTAAACATTAGCGCGCTATTGTTTACATGTTACGGTCTTGTTATCATTCGCGCGACAACATTTGAATAGGACTGTAATAGTGCGAGACGCTACGTCACAAATTCCTTTTGTACAATACTTATTATTGTTATTGTCATTCACGCGACGACACTCGAACAGAAAGGTAGTGATGCGAGACGCTCCGTAATCGGTTAGAGTTCGGTCGATTGTTTTGGAATCGTCGTTCATGGGTCCCTTCTCTTGTACCGTCTAACAGCACATTGTAGCAATACTAACATGTTTGGCATTGGAGGAGTTGGCTGTATTAATTAGGTTCGATTTTTGCTCGCTAGAGAAGTTGATCTCCCGTTTTCTGAGTGATCTAGATTGTTAGCACTTAAGGAGGTGGGTATCTTCTTTCTCGACCCGTCTCTCAGCCTTACGATAAACCCGGCTCGGTCTGTATGATAGAGACTTGGTGGTTCGTATGAAATCGTTCCTAATGAAGTTCGAGTCGGCCCTCGATGGGAGCAGGCGCGGACCAAGAGTCGAGCGAACCCCATTCGCGTCGATTCCATCAATCGATTTCGTCTTCTTCCGCTTCCGCTTAACCTTTGCTCGAAGTAATTGGTGAATTCCCGACTTGTCGACTCGAAGTGTGATTCTCACGTAAAGCGGGGTTCGATTGTGCCGAAATTCGAAAGTGCGGGAGTGTCGTTCAAAGTATCGCGCGTATAAGTGCGGAAGTAATCTTTTAATAAAAGTGCGGGAGTGCCGTTTAAAGTATCGCGCGTGTGAATCAACCTGAGAGAAGGAGAAAGCCTAGAGAGGTATTGGGCACCGGTGGAACAATTCTGTGGTAAGTAATTTGTTATTTCTATATTAATTATTTATTAATTGCGTACAATTTAATTGGAACAATTAATCGCGTAATCTGGCTTTTTATTTATATGATTTAGACAGGAGAGAATTAGAGAAAAAGATTTTTATATGGAAGCTATAATCTTGTAACAGTTTTTACTTTTAAATTATAGCTTTTATTTAAAAGTATTAGTTATTAGTAGTTTTTCTTCAAAATTTATAAAATTATTTTATTAATTTGCTTATTTTATATGCATCGAATATAAAATTCAATGCATATAATAAATTTTTTTAAATATTAATTAATTTGAGCGCTGCTACAATTTGGATCTTCTATTTGCATGTTACAGAGCAACATAGCGACCCTGACATCCTGAGAGGAGGGGGAGGCCTAGGAAAGGCATCCTGCACCGGCGGAGCAACCCTAGGGTAAGTATTTATTATTTGCATATCAGTTGTTAAAAATTGCGTACGCGCATTAATTTGGTCTCTTTATTTGAATGAAATAAACAAGAAAAATTTAAAAAGAAACACTTTTATATAAATCCGATAAAAGTTTCTATGTGAAGAAAAGTCTTTT